AAAAAGTTTACAATATAAGCAGAAAGGTCACAGACTACAGTTCAGACTCCACATTTTACCATTTTGATTTACACAGACGTGTTTTTGCCAAAAACGGAAAGCTTCTTCGAAAAGGAGACCTTCTTAAGAGACCGCAATTGGCTAAGACACTACAACTTATTGCACGAGCAGGAAGCGCAGAACCATTCTATAACGGACCAATGAGTAAATCAATAGTCAAAGAAGTGCGTGCTGCTGGAGGGGTGTTGACCTTGAAAGACCTCAAAAACTACAAAGTTGAGTTTCGCCCTGTGCTAAAAAGCAAGTTGGACGACATGACGTTACTTAGCACTCCTCCACCAACCGCTGGCCCAGTGTTGGCCCTGACTCTGAATATCTTGAAAGGTAAGCGGTTGACCTGTACCAAGCCGTTAGAAAAATTATACGTTTTCGCCAAGTTTAAGCCGGGTGGATAAAAAATTGCACTTGGAAATGAGGCTTGCATTCATATGAAACAGACCCAAATGCATCTGTTTGGAAAGGCTGGAAAATGGTAGACTACGTAATGTAGGAAAGGGGGAAATGTAGACGAAAAATAGCATCCTGCCAAAATAACCGTAAAAGTACAAACAAAAAAAATACAGTAAAAAGTACCATAAGTTGTCCCACAGAAATAATCTCCATTCCACCTTGTCCACAGTGACGTCGACACTAGTGAAGTGTAATTTTACTATTGATCTGCAACAGCACCACATCTTCGGGACTGCATCATCCTGTATTCTATTTATCAACCTTTTTTACTCCCTGTATTGTATCAGAACACGACTGAGCTCATTAATTTTCATGCATTTCCTTTACACCAAAGGGTATAAATTAAAGCAGAGAGATCTTGAGGATAACCCAGTGAGAACATATCATCGCATTATTGAAGCATTTAAGTTTGCGTACAAGTATCGATCATTGTTAGCTGACCCTAACTACGAGAAAGACGTCAATAAGGTTTGTGTCGATAATCAACAAATTCTGCTCTGTTGGTATGTGTTATAGTATATTGGTCGTTGCGTGACACACAAGGTATTGTCGTGTTACAATACGTTGGTCCTGTAGAAACGCACAAAGTTTTGTTGAGTCACGCGGTAGGATGGTTTTCGCATGACGCTCAAAGCATAGTTGTGTTACTCGAGTAGCAAAAAGTAAAGTCGAGTTACAATAAGTTAGTTTTTTCGTGATTTGCAAATAATTCTAGCTGGTGGGGATCCTCTGTAAAAGACAATTGGCAAATGTTTAGTGATATCATGATCTTCCTACAAAAGCTAAAACTCTGATCACCTATCTGTGTTTTTACCAGACCGTGAAAGAAATGATGAGCACAAAACTAGCCGACGACATCAGACGCCAAATCACGGACACCATGACGCATTCTCAAGATTATTATGGCTCAAGGTACCATGTACCCATCAAAACTGGAACGACAAGCTTGTCGGTGTTGGCTGCAAATGGAGATGCAGTCTCACTTACAAGCACCGTAAATGGATAGTAAGTAACTGGAGCTTGAATTCATGACACCACGTGTTCCTTTCTTGGTTCTTTCTTGCAATACTTATTGTTATCACCAACAGCGAATAAATACCCACCTTATTATTTTGGAAAGTTTGTAATCAATCAAAACGCTTGCACGCAACTGGTCTGTATACCGAGACCGCGTGACTTAATAATCTCCGGCTAAAACTAGAAAACTCGCCATAGGGAAATTTTTCGCTTCTCTGAAAAGGGATTGTTGGGAGACAGATTCAAAATTGTTGATTTTAAAACCAACAGCGACGACAGATATACAAAAATGCATATATCAAGTCTTTAATCACAAACAAATTAAGAGTGACATATATGGTGACGTTTGTTCTTAAACGTCAAAAAAAAAACCGGACTGTTGCGCTGAAAGAACTTGAGTAGTTGAACCAATTTTCAAATCACCTTGGAGCGCCAGCTTCGTGAGCCCAAGGATATCATTGACATTACCGTCTTTTGCTTTGCTGCAGTTTTGGAGCCAAGTTTCTCTCAAACAAGCTTGGCTTCGTCTACAACAATGAAATGGACGACTTCAGTGCACCGCACGTGACAAATGAATTCGGACTTCCGCCATCTCCTGTCAATTTCATCAAACCGGGCAAGAGACCGCAGTCCTCAGCCGTGCCCGCGATAGTACTGGATAAAAAAGGAAATGTCTTAATGACGATTGGTGCTGCTGGGGGTACCATCATTACAACATCTGTTGCGCAGGTAAGCTTGAGTGGAGATACAATGAAATACCGCATATAGAAATTTTTATCAAGTGCTAAGTAGCTAAGGCATAGCGGTCTACAAGTATGACATATTTCTGATACCAATATATAAAGAAAATTAAAAACCATAACTGGTAAATACATCAGTTGTTCAACAGTACTGAAAGCAATCTGAAATTAGTACTGAAAGCAATCGGACACAACGATTTGTTCATGGCTACAATATTGGAAATACTGCACGCAATAAATATCATATCTCAGTTCTCCAGCGTCACATGAGGTCCATAAATTCCAAAATTGAAACAAGACATGATAGTTTTGTTTTGTCTTTTTTCCGCAGGCGATAATGAACTACTTTTGGTTCAAGAAAAATCTGCAGACCTCCATTACAATGCCGCGAGTACACGACCAGCTCTATCCTAACTTTGTATTCGCTGAGACTAGGTTTCCAACAGAGGTCGTCAATGGCCTCATTTCCTTGGGACATAAGGTTTGTAGATGCGTATACATAGAGAAAAGTGTGTCCGATGAATACCGAATTTCAGGCTTGGCCTTCGCTCTGCGGCCAAGAAAACTCGCGCCACTTTCTCAACCGATCAGATGCAAAACTAAAATCAATCATAATTGTGCAAAAAGTGTACAAAGCATTTTTCAACTGAGTGACAAAAGTAATTCGGGATTGCGCTGGTGTTACTTTATTTCGCTTAGTGATTATTGGGAGTGCCTCATTCTCTCTTTCCCACAGCGGAAATGCTTTTTTTCTCCAGCATCAAAGCGAGCGTTTCCGCGCTTATTCGCTCGTTCACCGTTTGCTTTGATGTCCTCTCCCAGCTCGCATAATCGGCGTCTCACATATGGGAACTTACACGAAGGCTAACGTTTTTGTTACATCTGATCACACAGTGATGACAAAATTATTTCAGTTATTTCCTACTCAGGAACATTCTTCAACATGTCCTTTCAAATGATTGCAATTGTATTTTAATTTTAGGTCAACGTGAGTGATATAAGTCACGGTGTGGTCCAGGGAATTGTGAGAAATCCCCACAAATACAAACTAATTGACAACCGTGGAAAAAGAAAAGGATATGTGTACGGCTTGGTACCACAGATCTACGCAGAATCTGACTACAGGAAAGGAGGACAGCCCGCTGGATATTAAAACATTATTTGCCTTCTCACTAAACGACGATTTGCTAAAGGATTTATGAAATACTCACACAAAAATGAGGAGCATTTTGAACTACAAGAATCATTTGAGACGTTACACGTTTGCAAAGTCAACCAAGTTGTAATATATTGGATAGGTAATTCTGTATTGGTCCAAGGAGTAAGACAAAATGTTAATCTCCACTTCGATTTTTGAACCATGCATGAGAAACTCTCTGAAATCTCACCTTTTGTAGCTTTCAGAACTTTCAGAGCAAGAATTTTGAGTCGTTTTTCGCGTAAGTTCATTTTATAGTAGATGACATAAGTCAATTTAAGGTTTTGGAATAGGTACCTACATATAGTACAACAAGCCACAACGAATGTGAATAAAAACTGCGTTTTCCACCAGTTCAAACTAGTTTTTATCTTTTCTATGAAGATTATTGCATTGGATGCATACTGTTTGTCCTAATAGTATCAAAGTCGTGGTGAACTTTGAATCCTGTTCATTCTGTTTTGGCCAAAATCAACGAAACAGAAATCTTCAGATAGGTCTTATGATGTTTTTCAATTTCTGCTAACTTTGAACTTCAGTAACTTTTGACCAAAACAACACATTCAGTGAGTTTCAGCCGCTCAATTGATCAATCACAACAAAATGTGATGTCGATCCTGAAGTGTCTTGTAATGTTTTGACTTAATGATTTTTACACGCGTCATTAGCTACTTATCACAGATAGCAATAACTCTAGCAGTGGCTCTGGCACGGTTGACTTCAGTGGCCCCTGGTGCATAAAATAATTGTTTCAGCCCAATAATCTGCAAAGTTACTCTAAATAAGTTTCCTTCCCGGCTACCTAGTTCCCTCTCTAACCGTTTCTTCCATGGGAGGTTTCCTCATACACTTCTCGCAATTTCTTACTGCTGGCTTATTTAAACAAAGTTTAACCGTTGTAAACCATCTTCAACTTTGTGGCCGAACCTTTCATCTGAACATTTATTTTTGTTTACAAAGTCAAGAGGGCCGAAAGCTGACATTGGAAAGAACATTTATTTCATTAAATCGATCCTCATACACGGAAAAAAGTAACTGAGTTCCCTGCCCTCGTGTAAATAACCGACCCTTGTGCCTCCCTCTCAGCGTGTTTTTTTCCACCAGCTATTTCCCCCTAACATCCTTAACTGTCCATTGGAGCAATGTTCAATGAAATGTTCACATTATTGCGAATCTGAATTGGATTTTCTTCACTACGCTGTATCATTGGTCCAGAAAAATTGCGCCGTCTCCCATCCTAAATGAAGCTAAGCCGAGCGAGGCTAAAAAAGTCGAGACTTGTAATTGATCACGTGCGTTCCCGCGTTTGAATTGGGGCTAGTTTAACTATTGACGTACTTGAGTTCTCGTTGACTTCTTAAAGTTGTGGTTATGACCTTTGCTAGTATAACTGAATGAGGAAGACACTTTGGTTTTGGAATTAAAAATAAGAAACAGTCTATCATTGAATTTAAAATTTTAGTCGTAAACTGCGCATTTTACAGTAAAGTTTTTATTTATTTATTATTTGTTCATTTTACTAAGGTTTGGTGATTTATGTTATAATGAATTAATTACAGATTTACTTTCTTTAGAAAAGTTTTAAGGAGGTGTCGAGTAAGAAGTATAATACTCAAAGTAAACAACCCATGATGAATCATGGCTGAGAAGTTCTGCAATCTAACATATTAAGATAACGATTCCACAAACATTACTATCCATATTGGCCTGAGTTGAAGCTGACACAAGCTTTTAAAACATATCATGAAATATCATTAAAAACCACTCTTATTCAAGTCAAGGTGGATTTATAGTCTAAGAACTTCCAATTATGAGTTTTCCTGTACGTTTCCTTTTGAAAATTTCATTGATTAGTACCGGCCTCTTTCTCTTAGGATTAAGTTTAGCTGTCATCTTTGAAATATTCACCCTAAATATCAGAACTTCTCCAAGTTGAGAGGCCAAGACTTCGATAACGTCGGGTGTTACTGATCAATCGAGCCAGTTTATCCCGTTTAGCTCCGGGAGCGCTTGGAGACGGATTTTCTCCTGATGACACCCGTAACAGCGGCTCTTTGAAAACGGCACTTTGCCCTTTTGAGTCCACGAGTCTACCAAAGTTACTGACATTCAGTTCACTGAGTTTTCCCTGGGTGCAAATTCCGGGATAAATAATCTTCCGTCGGACTGGCGAGTTCTGGGCTGATTTCTGTCGGCATCGACACATCTGATCCCGAAGATTGCTGTCGAAAAAGCTGTACACCGCCGGATTGGCGCACAGTTTTCCCAAAGCCAGGAAACAAGCGAAATCGCGAAAAATCTCAATGCTTTTTTTCTTAGGATTGCCAACAGTTTCGAGAGCGTAAATCGCCGCTAACGGAGCATAACAAAAAATGAAAGTAGCCATTACAATAAGGTTCATTACTACTGATTTTCGTTTAGCAAGTGGAACTGCGTTTGATCGCAGAGAGCTGGTGAATCGGCGGTGAGTATTGATAGGTACGTCTGGCTTACCTTCGCGGGCACCAAGTTTGCTTACGGGATGAGTCACTGAATCGGGCTTAAGCAGCCTACTCACAACTATGAAATATGTCACAGTCATAATCATTATTGGCAACAAAAATATCGCCCAGAGTTGAACCAAGGAATAAAGCTTGTCTTTCCAAGGCAAAGCTAAGTGCTTGTCACAGCTGAACAACAAAGCTTGTGGTTGGTGTTTCGCTCCCAAGAAGTAGTATAGTACTGGGTTAGCGAACAACAGCGCGTAACACCATGCAAATACGCCCATGTATTTAGCCTGTCGACGGGTTATTTTCGACAGTGGATAAAACACGGAATAAAGCCTGTCCATGCTTATCATTAATAAAGTCACTGTTACCGATCCTAGAGCAACCGATTGGGCGTATTCCAATAATTTGCAGACCGTTGGTCCTCCAAGCAAGTACTCCCCTACAATCTCACGTTCTATCTTTAGCGGAATCACAAAGCACGCGATGGCAAGTTCTCCAATGGATAAATTCACGATAAGGCTGTTCATGGCAGACATCCTCGGAGATCGCAGTCCGCAGTAACAAACCAACACGTTGCCAGTGGTAGACACGACCAGGATAAGCGACAAGGCGACTACTTTTCCAACGGCCATGGTTTCATGATAAGCCGAGCTTTGAGTTCCTGTAGCGCGTGTCATAATAACCGTCCAGTTTGATGAAGGATTCATTGAAATTTAATCCACGCGTCGAAAGACGGCATCGGTTGTTTCAGAGTTGTCCCTCTTACAGTGACTCCGATGAAGGGTTCATAATTTTCACGGCCGGAAGACCAGGGCGCTTCAAATGCATCAGATGTTGCTTTCGAGAGCGTAGGAATTCTATGGATTGAGAGATATTTGCTATGGATGACACGCTTGCCAGGTGGCGTGATATTTTGGCGGGTGTTTATCCCGCCACGTCAGTAGAGCACCAGCGCCGCACCCCGTGAAACTGCAACGGAACATGCGCAAAATGTAACGACTGCTAAAACAAGTCGGATCGTGGGCTCTGAGGTTTGCAAACTCAAGTGTGAGATATCTTTATGCTCAGTTGATGATTCAAGTTAAACGTTTTTTTCCATAGAGGGAAGACTGTGAATTGTTTGGATGAAATTGTACTAGAAAAAAGGGAGCTAGTGGAAAAAGAGACAGCTTTCTTTTCTTGTGTGCAATTAACAAACGAAACTAGGAAAGGAAACAATAATTCATGCACCGACGAAGCGATGAAAATTACGACTTTTCTTTACGGTTCTTGCGCTTTCGATTCTCTAGGTATCTAATCATAACCTCCAAGCGTAAATATCTAAAAGCAACAATTGAAACAAACTGACATTAATCAAAGTCTACTAACCTCAAATGTGTGACGATTTAACGGAATCATTGAAAACAAGAGTTGCCAACTTTCCATGTGTCTTAAGAGGAATGGTTTCATAGAAATGATTATTTCTTTTTTGAGACACGACCTATCAATCCCAGCATCTTCAAACGGATTTCATTTTCCAGTTCACCTTCATATATAATTAATCATGAAATTATTGTTGCGATTACTCGCGCTACACAAGCGTAATATAATGACTGTATGCATGGTGAAGTCCTCCAGATCATTGAGTTTTGCGTGTGTGTAATGAGTAAGAAAAAAGATATTTCTTAGGTCAATGATTTTGAATTCATGACTTTGTTCTCTGCTAGGCAATGAAACATTGTATCATTTAAGGTAATTATCGACTCTCAATAAAACGAATGAATAGTGGTATCTATCTAAGCCGTGAATACCTCTCAGAAGCGCTCCTCATTCCCTAAATTTATACAAGGCAAGCGCCCTGGGCGTTAATTCAAAGAATGCGGATGGTATTTGTGATGTATAGCAAAAAGAAAGTTGTGCCCGGTTGTCTGAGGAAATTACAGCACTAACTTATTCAATCATAGGATTAACTAAATTGCAATGGAAACTCGATGGAAATAGATTTTCTTAAGGCAGGGATTGCCTCTCTTTTTCTGAGGTATCGATTAACAGTCACTGAACTTTCCATCGAAATTCCTGCAATCTTCCCATATTTTTTTGTCTTAATTTAACACACAGGTAGCCTAGCTTGAGCCCCAAAACGTCTGGTCCCCTAAAAATACAATGCTATCTTTGCCCCACGAGTCGGATCCTGTAATGGTTATTTCCAAATCATTCCGGAATTTCTCGAATGGGAGATGAACTAAAAATAACTGAGTAATAAACAATGTAGTCTGTTATGATTAACCAGGAACTCGATTCTTTTAAATTGGATACTTTCTTGTGACATTTTCCCGACAGAGAGATGGCTTCACATGCTCACTGAATGCGAACATGGTTCAAAGCTACCCACTAGTTTGCATCAGAGCATGTTTCCCTTACTGTTTACTTACACCCACCCCACCAAATCGGATAATCCTCTCCCGACCCGACCCGACCCAGCAGCTTAGTGACCTCCCGTCCAATGACGTCACTCGGGAGAGTTTGTTTTGAGCGGTGAAATAAAATGCATTTACCCAACGAAACAAAAACAAACGCTTCTCGCCGATGTGGACGGAATCTCTATGGGAAATAAGTGAAGATCTAGTCATGGAGGACAAATAGCAGTGATGTTGATGGATCCTTTTGACAAAGGACAACAGAGTCCTCGCAAAGCCCAGTCGTTTGGCGATAAATTGGCTGCTTTTTCGTCTCGATCGCTCGCCAGATATCTCTCTGACGAAGTGAATCTGTCCGGCTCTTTCATCTCACAAAGAACAAGTATTCTCCAGGATGTCAGAGCAAGTAGGTGAATTTGTGTACAGCAAGAAAGACTTTATTGGACATGGAGCTTTTGCAGTCGTTTTTAAAGGACATCACAGAAAGGTAACGTACAATGTACTTTTCCACGGCTTTGCGAAGACGAAATAATTTCTTTGATCGTTCGCTTTCCGACGCGATTCGCTTTTGGCCGAGTAGTTTTCCGAGTTTGTTTTTTTTTTTTAATCTAAGAGAAAAGTGTCGAATAGATTTCCGAAGATGGAATAACCAAAGTTTTGCCTCACCAGCGAACAAATGTGAGCCTATGGGTACATATCTTTGACATTTATAGTCTATGCTTTCATTACGCAAATTTTTGTTTTGATATCGAGCAAACCATCACCTCGCTCGTCATTACATTTGCTTAGTTAATGGTCATAAAAAAATCGGTGAGCCTCACACAGATTTATTAGCGCTATTTTACATAGTTTAATAAATCCCATAGGAAACGCGCCAAGTATATCGCAGCAGAGAAACGCCAACTGATGCAAGTTTTCCTTACGTCTGTGTCCTTTTGACTTCCTCTCTCACTGGTTGTACGTGATGTTAGCTGATATTTCTCTTTATTGCAGAAAGATGACTTCGTGGTAGCTATTAAGGTCATCGCAAAGAAGAATCTCTCCAAGACTCAGAATCTTCTTGCAAAGGAAATAAAAATTCTAAAGGTGAGAGAGGAATAACTTTATCGTAGAAATCTTATGCAATACACATTCATTTTGCAGAGCGAGGTTTTTGTCTGACAAGCCATTGTTAATTGCGTGATCACAAGACACAATATATGCCCAAGGGGAAAGTTCATTGAAATAATAGCAATCCTTCACGCAGTTGTCATGTGCAGCCAGCTTAGTGATTGCCCTTGATCGAGCGGTCAAACTTCAATATTGGGTTTCTAATATTCCCGTTAAGTATCCTTGTTTTGAAAAGTGAATTTATCCCGCGTAATTTAAGACAATGTAACTTAGAAAACCTTTTTCTTGCGTGCTAAAAAGCATATGTACCTACTTGTGAACAATGTTTATATCTTTCATTTTAGGAACTTCATCACGAAAATGTGGTTTCTCTTTTCGACTGTCAGGTAATGATGGAATTATAAATATTTTCGATTTATAAGAAGAATGATGTGTTTGGAATTTTGGAAGATTGCCCAGAATGAAAGAATAAGATACCGACTACGTTTTTTTCAGAAAATTATTTCATACTTGCGTGCCGTGTAAATTGATCTAGTTTTAAGTAACGTCAAAATAGAAGGCAATGTAAAAGCCGTTGTCAAACACTTGTTTTTTCCACCTTTTAGGTTCAATTTGATTTACAAGCCTAAAATAATAGTCATATTTTGGGGAAAATTAAGCCTGCCTTTGTCCCAGACACTGGTTGTGGTCATGTTATGTGGTTTATAATTTTAGCAATACTATCAATTTTATTGTAAAGGTTGCAAGTTTTTTATATGATAATGATCGTTGACTGCATATATTCTTTAGGAAACATCCAATAATGTCTTTCTTGTTATGGAGGTTAGTCATCTTTGTTTGTTTGATGTTTTTTCCATTCACACCAGCAAAACATGTTTTGTTAAACTGGTTTTCATTGAATGAAAATTATAAACAGAGAACTGAAAAACTTGATTTTCCATTGGATTCAAGTACTAGCTAACTTGTATTTCCAATGTGCTACATTGTCAAAAATATTCGGTTAAATAGTTTCTATGAAGAAAAAAAAAATTAAACTGTGTTTAACAAAACAACTTTTAAACATGTTTAAGCTTTGGTGTGAATGGGGCATAAAATTTATGTCATCAAACTATTTGACACACTTTGCATTTAGTACTAAGTGTGCCAAGGCATCACAGACCAAAGAATTTTCTGGCCGCTTTGCAGAGTATTTCAGCTAAGCTTCAATGGTGTTTGGTGTTTTTTATTCAGATATGCAGCTATTATATTATATGTTCTCTTATTGTGTTACCTTATTCCATAGCTGTTTGAAGTTTTCCTTTCTAAATATGTAATTCATGACTTTTTCTAAAGGATAAAGAGGATCAGAAGCCCCCTTTGCAACCCTCTGTAAAGTTTTGAGACATTGTGCTGTTATGTCGCTCATTTTCCTTCTGTTTTACAACTCTCTTGCATCTCAATGTTGTAATAAAAATTCTGGTGTTATACTCTAGTTAAGCAGTAGTGTTTCTTGATTCAACAGTATTGCAATGGAGGGGATCTTGCAGACTACCTTCGTGGTAAGAATAGTTCACTTCTGTTACAATGAATAAGTTATCAAACTTAAGGTACATGTACATATACACTGTTACCAAAAGGGTTATTGACCCTTTAACCCCTAAGAGTGACTAACATCTAGTTTCTCCTTTCAATATCACCCTTGAATCCAACATTAATGTCATGAGAATAAAAGAAATGATCACTGACTGAAGAAGTTCTCGGTTGTTAAACAGATTCTCCTTGTTAGGACCTTAGGAAATATACAAGGAACAGTATAGAGAATATGCATACTGATGTTAGGGTGTAAAGGATTAATGTTATAAACAAGTCTACATTATTCCTTACAGCAAAGGGAACCCTCAGTGAGGATACAATCCATATTTTCTTACGTCAGATAGGTATGTTTTTCATTAATTTTATTTTTTCCTACTGTTGATATTTGATTTACATTGTCTTTTACAGTGTAGCTGGAATATAGTTGTTATGTATTTATTCTGACTTTTGATGATATTCAATTTGTTAAATAATTTTGGTTCTCCTCAGCTTCTGCCATGTGCACACTGCAATCCAAAGGTGTCGTGCACAGAGATTTAAAGCCTCAGAATCTACTGCTGCACCATGCAGGGACAACCACTCCCTCACCATCACAGATCAAGATAAAGATTGGTAGGTTTTGCATGGGTGTTGCTTTCCTAGCTTGTGAACAGCCACCTCAATCATTAACCTCATGGTGTCAACCTTCTTCATAAGGAACTTTCACCATGATAAGCCACAACGTCTCAAATTCTTGCAGTATTCTGTAGCAAACATTCTTTTCACAACATAGAGTTACTAGCCACCTCATTTTTTTTCTTTTTCATTTGGGTTTGGGACTGGCAATGGGAGAGGTCTAAGGTATCTACTTTTTGTATTATTGTACTGGTCATTACCATTTATTTTACATATTCTGAATTGTTGTTTTAGCTGACTTTGGGTTTGCAAGATTTCTCCCTGGTGAAATGATGGCAGCTACTTTATGTGGATCTCCTATGTACATGGTATGTATAAACTGCTGAGATATTTTGAGTTCCTGAGTTGCATGAACTATAATTATGTGTTTCTCTGGGTGCTATTTAGAAAAATGGTTTCACCCTTAAAAAAAATTATTAGTGGTGAAACAGTCTCTGTGAGTGAAAATGGTTCATTTGAAATAATACTGCTGCTGTTTTGGACTTCATAGAGTTCTTCTAAATTGTCATTACATTTATTTGCAAATAAGCAAAGAATCAAAGAAATAAAAAAAAATTAAACTACATAGTCAGCAATTATTGGTAGAACTCTGTGTTTAAATAATTTTTTGTACCATATTTCAATATTACTGAATGACATGTGGTCAAAATTTCAGTTCCATATCCCACTTTTGATATATTCATTTACTGAGTTTATTTTCCTTCTTTGTCATTCAAGGCTCCTGAAGTTATAATGTCCAAAGGATATGATGCCAAAGCTGATCTCTGGAGTGTAGGGACAATTGTTTACCAGTGTCTCACTGGTAAAGCCCCCTTTCAGGTGCTCTTATATACCATGACATTAAAAAGCCAATTGTGACAAACTTTATCAATGTTATATAATATCAATGATTTTTTTCTAATTTTGTCATTTTCCAGGCAAACAGCCCTCAGCAGTTAAAGAAGTTTTATGAAAAGAGCAAATCTGTTTCTCCAAAGTGAGTGGCAAAATGGCAAGCTAACAATATTTCAATTCTTTGTATATCTTGATCTAGTACTTCAGTCTGTGCCTGCTTGTTTGTCAGATACAATCTGATTACTGTACTAGTAGAATATCATATTTATTTCATGCTTTATCAATACTGAGTCTTATTTTATCCACGAATAGTAAACAACTGTTTTTTGTTACCTCAGTATACCAGCTGGTACTTCAAACCACTTGAAAGACCTACTTATTGGATTATTAAAAAGGAATCCTCGTGACAGGCTGGATTTTGGTAAATAGTTTTTATATCTTTGTTTAATTTACTGAGAAGTCTGTTAAAAAACACAAATATTGAAGGTGAATTGTTTGAGGTAGATTGAGGCTGGTGTTGTCTAATTTAACCACAAATCCTTCTATTTACTCATGTGCAATCAATAACTCTAAGTTTATAAAATGAGTTACTGCTGCTGTTGATAATCTGAGAACAAGGCTGAGCACAGATGAGAGAAGAGGACAGAACCATTTTGAGCTGAAAATTTATTTTTAAGAAAGTGAGTTTCCAAGGCTGTGTTAGACAAAGTTTCATTCTGGGCACATAATACATCTACATGTACATTTGTTTCCCAAAGAAATGCAGCATTTTTGTAGGAGGCTTTCACAGGGTAATTTTCAGCAGGAAGGGAGGGAGGGATTGTTTGAGGATTGTACAATTTCAAGTGGATATGGCACCCTTAATGTGTTTATGGTTTAAATATACCATCATTAACTTGTGTATCAAGCACCCATCAGGGCAGTGATTATTAAATATATATCAACTTATTTTTCTGTTTACAGGTGAATTCTTTGCACATCCTTTCTTGACTGGCAGAGTTCCCCATCGTGCATGTAAGCAAAAACCTACATGTATCTTACTAATAGTGTTAATATAGGCAAATACAGCTGTAGGCAGTTAACTGGAACAAAGAAAGTAAAATAATTGAGTGAGATGTTTGTTTTAGAAAGAAATTTATACATGTACACCTGTCTGTGAAAACTTTCATTATGTTGACGGTAATCCCTCTAGAAATATAATTGACTTTGTAAATGTAAAAGAGACCTACAACTGTAGTTTAACCTAAGATTTAAATGGCAGAAATAATTTATTAAAAATATTAACATTTTTGATGTTTTAGACTCATAAACTATCCCTATCCTGGAAATGTCCATGGACAACTTTTAAAAGAATTGGATAACTTTTGAAATTGTTTTAACATTTGATTTTTTAATATCTTTCCACATGTATGTAGCTACCCCAGTTGCTGTCCCAGTTCCTCAGCGTAAACACTCTGGCAGTTCTCATGGAACAAGGTCACCTTCCTATTCCCCAGTAAGTGTGCCATCATCATTAACATTACTGTAACATTGTTTGTTAATGTGGAGGAGCTAGTGCATAGCCTAAATAGCTGTTTAGAAAAGGAAGGCCATCAAAGTAGTCAATTTTCCCTATGGACTCAGTTCCAATGTTCACAGGATGAGTTTTTCTCAACATGTAGTAGATAGACTTCAAGTTTTTTCAGGGACACATAACCCCCAGAACCGGGATTTATGTGGGAAACAGTGTAAAGCAACCTACATGTATATGTACCAACTACCTGGGCAAGAGACATACTTTTAAACACTAGATTTTTCTGCTAATGTTACAAATCTATTTCTTGGCAAGAAGCTACTGTGACAATATGGATATGCAGTGTAAGAATGTCAAAATAACTAACACTTTAATCCAGTCCATAATTTTGAACAAGTTTCTCTCCTTATTTTATAAGTCATATAAAGTCACCTATTAGTGCCCTTATGTTTCTTTTTCTTTTTTATTCTCTGAATTTAATTCAATAGAACTTTGGTGCAGAAGCTTTGGGTGACATAAGAGTTGATCTTCTTCATCGCATCACTCCACCCCATGATGGCACAGGCATTTCCCCTCAGGACCCTCCCACAATTATGAATATCAGCACCTCCGCAAACAGTAAGTTTTGGGAAAGGCTTTGAATTTTTATATATTAATTAATGAATAAAGAGAGATATAAAGAGGATATATGATAGCATAATGTTTAGCATGCCAAGCTCTGGATGTTGTTGTACAAACTTCGAACTGCACAGGCAAAAATTCTGCAAATAATGAATTTTTGTAGAGGCCTATTGGCTGTCTTAGTGCTGCAAGGTATAGTTGTGATGTAAATAAAGGAGATGAGTTTCTGTAGAAATTGTGGCGCTGCATTGGTGGGAGAGTACAACAAGGTAATTTAGTATTGTCAACTGAGTTGATAACATAAATTGGCCACCATAAAGAGTTTAGAAGCTGACAGATTGATCATTACCCCCTCATCCAATCACTCTAATAATAAATTACCCTGTTATAGTTGTGATGTGTTCTACTCAGTGAATTGTTTCAGTGAAAATGCAGTGACTTGCAAATTTCTTGGTAATGGTTGTGTACTTGGAGGTATGGTATGCAGGGTTTAGAAGTGCTAAATTGTCAAAACTGGAATTGGAAAGTTTATATTTATTGCTTATATTTTATCCTTTTTTTGTTTGTTTATTTCAAGACTCAGGTGCACAGCTTAGTTCTCAAGGTGCCTACCCTCCAAATGCAGTGCAAGATGATGAGCTAGCTGCTGAGGTTTGTTTGAGAGTACTTAATGCTGACTTGCCATTTAGCTAGCCTGCATGTTAATCCAGTGCACAAGATATGGCCGACTAGCTATTAGAGCAGCAATCGAGAAGAGGGCTAATACCCCTTCCCCAGTTCCCTTTACTAGGTGCTACAGTAGTGATGTTGCTTGGGGAATGTGTCTCCAAAACAACCAAATGTACAGTTCCCCTACCCTAGATCTTACCTGTCCTGAAATAACCATTTCAAAGCAAACAAGATTCTGAGACTGCAATAGAGTAATAAAATGAGATTATACATGGGCACTCGTAGATATGAAATTTCTGTTCGAGTTGAACACTCGAACAAAAATTCCATATCAACAAGCAACCATGTATTATTGTGTCTATCATATAAACACGACAGCCCTTTGCTGACAATGAAAAGTCAACTTTATTAATGAATGAAAACAAAAGGATCGACAATCCCCGAATGAAATTGTAAAGTGTGTTGACGCTAAGGCTCAACATGAAAAAATGCGTTGGAACACTACAAAAACAAACCATTGGCATAATTTTCGATGTACAAAACTATCAGTTGTAAAGTGCGTGGGCGCTAAGGCTCAACATGAAAAAATGCGTTGGAACACTACAAAAACAAACCATTGGCATAATTTTCGATGTACAAAACTATCAGTTATTGACTTGGTCCTTACCAACAGAAGAAGTCTTTCGGATACACGGCCAAAATCGGACTGTGGTATATCTTCCAGTTGTCGTTTTCGTTCTCAGCCGCGAGAATGCCATTACCAAAGCCACTGAATACGTAACTTTCGGTTTTTCTTTCCGTAATTTGGTTTTGCTTCCTTTCTAGCAAAGTCTGAATGTCACTGTCTGTGAGCGATACGGATTTTCCAGTGTTTCGGCAGCCATGATCCGGAAAAAATTCCGTCAAATGACTCTGTATTGAGAATCGTGAAGGCTTTGCCGCTCATTCATCAACCCGACTGAGTGGCGCGAAAGGCGCATGACGTGTCAGCAGCTGATTGGTGATATCAAACACACGTGAAAAAATACTATATTTTTTCACGTGTGTTGTTACGGCTTTTCGTACTACTAGAAATCCTTCTATAACCCCGTAGTTTTATATGATAAAATGGCTGTAAATAACAGAGAAGAATACGTAAACCATGCCCTATTTCAGACGCTCTGTATAAGAGACTATCCCTCTTCAGCCTGAGACTTCAGTTATTATTCCTTCCCCCTCCTTAAGAAATTTTTTTTTTAAATTCTAATCATCATGAAATTCATCCTTATCAATTAGGGTTTTGTGCTGGTCCCATCTAATCCAGAAACTCCAAGTGAGTGTTCGCATTTGTTTGTACAGAATACCTCTGAAGCTACATGTAGACCTTGAAAAAATCATTGCTATGGTCTATTTAATCTAAACTGCAATGTAACATACACATAATTCTGCAATTAGGATAATTTTAGATGTGAAGTTGTAAAAAAACATTTGCGTGACTCATTTTCACGGTCAAGTTACAACCAAACAGAACATGATTCTAAACCTTTCGTTTTTATTACGCAGTCCATTAAGAGGTTTTAGTTATCACCGTCACACTTAAGATTTTTTCTAAAGAACAAGTCTTAATATCTCTTTGATGACTTAATTTTTTCTGGTCTTAGTTTAAGTAGTAAAAACAATTATCAAGATAAAATTAGATTTAAAAAAATTAAGACTTACTTAACCTTCACATATAAGTGTAGAACTGTGCTCGACAAGAATGAATCTTCAAGCTAATAATTTTAGTTTCTCCTTAAACTATTCATACACTGTCAAGCAGAAAGGTGCCGAGAAGAAATGAAATTATAAATATGGAAAGTTTGTTTGGTTTAAAACTGAATTCTCAGAGCTTAGACTAGTCGAAATGTATGGCAGAAAGAGGGAGAATTGATATTTTTATCTTGTTGGTAGAAGGATGTAATAAGATGAATTTCAATTTGTCTCCAGGATATCATCAGCAGAGGCATCATTCTGATCCGCTGTTTCCTTTCTACGGGTAAATATTCTCTCATTAGTTCTGCAGATTTAGTTAGGATCTATTAAAATGATACTGTAATTTCTTCCTTTTCCATAGCCAATCACCTCCAAGGACTGTCAGCAGTCCACAGTCTCCTTCTCCTCCATCATCACGCACTCCTCAGAGAGCCACCTTTATGGTGGGTTCGCCACAGTCAGCATCCCCAGTCTCCCCACCTTCACCTCTGGTACAGGCCCCGCCTGCTCTTTCCCCATTGTCATCTCCATCATCTGCAGAATCCCCTCCAGTTGAAATCCCAATAAGAAAGCGCACAAGTGCCTCTCCAGGACCTACACCAAAGGGTCAGCTATCATCCTCTCCTCTGCCTATTCCACGCAGTGGAAGTGTACCCAAACAGGCACCCTCTCGAACCTCCCCGTCCCCTACTCACCACGGAGCCAGTTCAGGCATGACTCCTAGAAAGCAGATAGTTGGCACCCCGTCCTCTAAACCGTTAGTAGGCAAGAGCCCAAATAGTAGCCCAAGTGCATTGAAAAGTGGCAGCAGCCGAAAAAACAGTCCAGCAACACAGAGACAAGCAGCGCAGGTTAGCCCCAAGGGATCTTCTATCCCTCTCACTGCTGCTGCTCAAGCTTTAAGTGCGCAAGCACGGTCTGAGATGACCGTGGGCTTGCACCAGCAAGCTTTTGCAGGATTTTCTAACACGAATGCTGATAAGGGGCTGGCACGGGGTGCAGCAGTTGGGACTTTCCGAAGAGCTCTCTCCAATATTGAACCTTTGGTTACTCAGTCACCGGACAGCTCGTCAATATTGACCGCTCTGGCTCGTCATTCAAGGTCAGGAATGGGTGTCCCAATAACAGACCTCTCTGAGCCAGGAGCAGAGACCAAGCAGATCATACGCGTGCACAGCTCGCCGGCCATACTAGCAATGGGCCTTCCAAGGAAGGGAAGCTTGTTGGCATCAACAGGGTTCCAACTAGGGGCTGCAGGGACATCACCCGTGTTCCGTCGGAATTCAGGTGGTGGATTCACCCCCCTGAGAGGAAAGAGTCCACCTATTTCATCCTCTCCTACCGGACTTCCTACCATACCAGGCTCGCCGACAAAGACATCCCATAGTACGGAGGCCAGCGATCCTACAGTTGATCCTGACAATAAGATGAAGCCCTTGAAGGGTCTTTTTACTGTTGGGTCGTGTTCGCCAAAAACGAGCGAGAATATGTTTCTACTCGGGAGGAATTCACCAAACGCGACTAAGAATGGAGAGAAACCTGCTGTTGTTAGTCAAGGTAAACATTACGTGTTAGAGTGATTTTCGATGGAGTGGCGTGGAACCAAAACCAAGGTAATCACATCTACCAATCAGAAACCAAGCAATCTGCATAAGCGCGTGAAAAGTGGTAACAGCATGAAAAAGAAATTTAGATTTCTACCTTTTTAGTAATGGGGTCTATGTCATACTAAGAAAAATTTACAAAGAGGGACTATCATTATTCTCTTCCATATGTGTGAATAGTAAGAAATTTTTTACAACTACTGGATGTGAGCTGCTGAGAGACCGTTCACCCTGACGCCTTGATTATCTCGACAGGAACGAAAGTCACTCTCGGATTTGGAGACAATTTTCCTCCCAGGAGCCCCAAGAGGCTCATGGTTGGACGAGAGGAAACCGAGGCGTCTTCACCAGACATGGAGGGCCCCATAGCTCTTATAGCTCCTGAACTGCCAGAGGATACTCTCTTAGATGTAAGAAAATAGTTATAACTGACTTGCAGCACTAGTCCATTGATTGTAATTAAACTGAACTAACGAGATCACAACGGCCAATTAAAACAAGGGAACATCTCAGTTGCATCCAATGGGAACGCAAAGAAGAACAGCAAAGCAGCCCCAAATCTGTAAACCTTAAGAGTGATTAGTATCTTATCTCTCCGTACAGTATCACTGTTGATTTAAACATAAAGGTCATGCGAATAAGGGAAATGATCACCCACCCGAGAAGCTCTTGACTGTTGAATAAATTCTCCATTTCAGTACCATTTGGAATGGATAGAAAACAGTATGGAGAATATGCATGATGATCTTGCGGTGTAAAGGGTTAAGTGTGTGAAACACTGTTGTATTAAGTATGCATCTGATTGGTTGAGGGAGATGTGCGAATTTTCTATAATAATAAGAGAGAGTATTGAAGCAAAACTAATTTAATCCCAAGTCAATTTTTTGCAATCGATTGAAAGTTGATCTCCAACAGATATACCATGTATATAAATGTGTATTTGCGAAGACATTCAGGGCGACCCTTATTGTCAGAAAAGCCTTCGATAAGCTTTTATTTTTTTTTTAGGCCAAAAGAGATTTTAAGTCAGAGGTTGGGTGTTTTCTGCGATTCTTTTACAATCACAGATTGCAAAACAGAGCGAAACAACATTGTTGTTAACTTACAACCTAAGGGAAATGACGGCTCCCTATTTTCTTTCATTTGTAAAAACCCCAGATGGAGCACACGGAGGGCGTTAGGAAACTCAATTTCGTTTTGTCATTGACGGATGCCATTCTTGAGGTGATCAGTGCCAGGGGAACACCTTTTACAGTGCTGACAGACTCTGTGGCCATCCGACAAGTACGTATTTGATGTTGTTTTTTGGCTGCCCTTGGTGATTTGCGTAGTTGAACAGGTTAAAAGTCTCGCATCCGTCTATCAATGTGACGAATGAATTGTTCGATTATTACAAAAATTTTAAATCTTTGTTCTTCTTCGTAACAAATGTTTTTCCCTCTTACAGAACGAAAGCCTCCTCGCAGATCAGATTGGACTGAAAAGTGACGAGTTAAGGTAACAAATTGGATTTAAATGATATAAGTTTAATGATACACACATTTTGATGAGGTCTTACTGATGATCTATTGGAGGACAGACGCAAAGATGACATCACCATTACCAACATTTTGCATTTTGATCATATAAAACAAATAGATTCCATGTCGCTGTGGGTCTGTAGAGTAATAGATCACAGATGACGTCTAAGTGTGGTAAGAACATCAGTGATACACTCGGCTGCGCCTCGTGTGCCACGTTTTGTTCTTTCCACTCTTTGACATCATCTGTGATCTATTACTGAACTAACTCATAGTAAGATGAAACATATTTGTTAAGGAGAGGATCACTGGACTCGGATTTGCAAATACAGACTTTACCTTATAGCGAAGCATTTGGTTTTACTGAGATGTGACTTACTAAGGTTCAAACATTTTGCAGGAAAATGGAACAGTTGGTACTGTACGTGAAAGCTCTACGAGCTCTTAATCTATCTCTTCTCTTCGCACAAGGAGAAATCAGAGTTGGCCACCTAAAACCCTCCAATGCTGTCAAGAATGGTGAGTCAGATAGATGCTCTGAGGCCTTACCCTTTTCTACGGGTGCTCGTAATAAGCCTGAACGAAGCATTAAGTTTTTCTATTATCTTTGTTTACAATTTTCAGTTCTAAACGACTTGAACAGTCGATATCACCAGTGTTTGGAGAAGGCGTCCCACCTGAAGCAGCTCTTAGAACCTGGACTACAGACACTTGATGGAAAATCTATGACGGTGAGCTTACAATATGTATGTGTTAAATCCTTTCGAGAATTAAATCAGCTTTCTGCAACATAATTGCTTTGGTTTTGCTACTGTTCGCTTTGCGATTGGCGTAAAACTTTGCACCATTGTCGCTACCAAAGAGTAATATGCAGAGCTTATATCAATCGTGGCTTGGTCACTCGCGTTTCTAAGCTTCAGACGAGTTTCGTCCATTTTAGCTGAATTCTCATGGGCCATTTTCAAAATATGTCTTTGTCGAATGGGTTGTTGTGATGAATGTTATTTTGTTTTGGGGAAACCTCATTACAAAGGGCGGGGCTCTAGGCTACGTGCGTTTGATTGAACTCTCCGCTCCTTTTCTGCACCCTTTGTTCTCCTTTTCCCCCACCCCCCTCCCTAGCCCCCCCTTCCATCAGTATTCCCTGGATACTGCTCAATTCAAACTGTCTTGCTGGTGCTTTGTTTACAAACGCCTGGAGGTGAGCTGTGGCGAGGTTGCTTCTCTATCCACTGCTTCATTTGACGCAGAGTAAAATACATCTTATATCCTTCTCACAGGTCAGCGCTGACAGACTGATGTACCATTACGCCATGGAACAGGTAACTACCTTTAACGTTGAGGCATGCCATTCGCTATTTGCTAGATCTTGAATTTTTTATCAAGTTTCCTCCTGTTTTTGTTTTTGTTTTTGTTTTTGATTCTTTAGTGTCAAAATGCTGCCCTCGACGAGGTGTTCGGAAACCCAAAAGAGGTGACTAACAGTCATTTGTTTGTTCCACGTGTTCATTGTTTCTTGTCAAGTTCTGTTTTTTCTCGTCTATCAGCAGTTTAAAATGTTTTTCTTTATTCTCTCTTTTAGTCTAACTCTAAATTCTTTTCAGTGTAAGGTCAAGTACGAGACTGCTCAGGTTTTACTTCAAGGCCTGGAGGAAGAAGCTCATACTGACGAAGATCGGCGTCTGTTGAATAAATGTATCCTTTGGTCTCGTTTGTGGCGCCTTGTTTGCGCCGCCTCAACGAAATAATTACAGACTCCGAATCCTGAATATCTTTTTTCTTCTCCCTCCCCACTAATGCCACCCAAAAAGATAAAGTTATTGAGGTCTTTTCATCTTGAATAAGGTGCACTGTATACCATGTCACAAAAGTATTTTAAATAAGGGAGGAGTAGTCTTAAGCAACGCTGGGCATAATTTAATGTCACTTCAGAAGAATAGAGAATTGAAAGATTCTGCTTTGTGAAAGACCACAGAGTGCTCACCATTCTATTCCTTCCCATTTTTCAATTTTTTGGAACACCGCGAGTTAGCCAATAAAAGTGTTAATTACATAGTCATTACTTGGCTGGCGTAGGCTACACACAATGTAATGCCTTTAAAATGATGATACAACCAGTTACATCAAGCCCTATATAAACACACATTTGCGAACCAGTGTCACTATTTACCAGCTTGACGATTGGTTCCTTAACGAAAGCTGTAGATAAAATCGCCGTAGATAAACGGCTGACGTGTATTTCCAGGACGAGGACACGCAAAACCAGTCAAAGTAACACCAGATAATCAGCGCAGGGCAGGCAGTGAACTGTTAGGTGCACTGTGGGCATATGTCAGCGTATGTGAATGGAGTGGAATGGACTTTCTGGTAACTGAGGAGAATACCGTCGATATTTTTTAGTAGTAGGGCATTCATTACTCTTTATTTTATAATCCTTGAAAGAGAGCATAGAATTGCAATAATCATTTGAACTTCAGAGTGAGAGAATCGAACGTTGTTGAAGTTGTAACTCTAATATAAATAATCTGATACGGGACGTTTGGTTTTTGTTTGTTTGTTTTTGCTTGAAATCTTGTATTTATTTCTTGGAAAAAAGTACTGCTGCTCTTATGTGGTGAGCAGATAGGATGGCCAATTTTATTTATATTTTTCGTCACGTTCAGATCTTGCAGTTTGTATTTGCAATGGACAAGATTTCTCCAGCAGAAGTTCAAAATTGTTAAGGACTTTGTTTCAAACTCACCTTTGATATATTTAAACGATGTTTAGTGATTATCAAAACCTAGCAATATTTGCGTTAACTTTTTTAACTAGTTACTTACGCTTTAATGTGTATAGAATAACGAAAATCTTTGGAGGCACTTACACAGAAGTTAAATTAAACATCGGATCGTAACTATTCCTTGATACTAAGGCCATAGTTATCATTGGTCATGAGAATTACTACATTTGAAATAGGACCACATCTCCCCTAGACATAATTTTTACCATGGGTGAAATTGCGACTGCCTTGTACAAATACGCTTGGGGAAACAGAAAAATATAGTATGTAAAATAAGCGAACATTTAAAAAAAATGGAACATGATGAAAAGGTTTATAAAATGTGAAATTTTACGTCGCTATTTTTAAAGTCGATAATTTAACTTAATATACGTATGGACGGCGTTTGCTTGAGTTTAAATTTATTAGTGATGATTCATTGAGATTATTTCGCTACGCAGCAAAATTGTCATGGGATAAATTTATTCGCGATTTCCAATATATAAACGCTATTTGTAAAGTGAAAATTTTCCTCTTAGATGAAGAGAATTATAAAAAGTGTTGTCGTGAAACTTCAAAACAAACAAACAAAAAAAGAGAATAAAAGTAAAAAGAAAGTGTGAAACTGTTCCAGTGTGTTCAGTTATTTAACCCGTCTTCTGACCTGTGGGTTGTAGGGTTTATTTCAGGAATTCTCCGGGATAGCGGCGATTCAGGTATTGCTGGTGACATTGCAAAGTTCGTTTGAAAACTGAGCAATCAAAGGATCCTTTATGGCCTTAGTTTTGCAAAGGAAATCTCCTAACCATACACATAACAAAATATATTGCGATGAATAATCATAGCCATTCTGTCATCACTAAAGGATTATTCACAAATTGTTGCCTTCGCTGTTATCTGTCTGTATGGCCACTTAGGATTGTTACTGTAAATGCGAAAATGCGTTGATTTAATTGGTAGAGGGTTAAAGGACTTTTCAAAACTATATGCAGAATGTCATGTTTAAATATTAAAACGTCTGATTTCCCCCCTGGAATTTTATATAAAAATATTTCCTTCGACAGACCGAAAATCAAGAATCAGAAGTTGGACCTTAAATTCAAGTCTAGTTCCCAGTGACCTCACTTGAGTTCCCTTAATCGTTCGTCGCTCGTTTCATTTGGAGAAAAATGTTTTCCGTCTTATCACATTCTATACTCCTAGCAGTATCCAGGACGCGTGACACATGAGCTTCGTATTGGGCCTTGCTCACCAAAGAGTCTGTGGCTCAGTGGTAATGCATCAGAGCGCAGTCGTATCTTCGTCAGGGGAAGATTTTCGTATCTCCTCGCTGGTACCTCTTTTTCATCGTATCTCTTTCCCTAATTATCTGAAACCCTCTACAAAGTCAAGGTTTTTGCAAACTTTTCTCTTCGGTAGAAAAATGTTCAAAGCTCGACACGTAATTAAAATCCTCGGCTATATCTTAAAAAAACTAGCAAGCCAACCTTGCTTGAGGTTAAGTCGGCGGCCGGTTTCCACCATTAAGGCAAACTCGCAAACGCCCCATTCCCCTTTCTCTCCAAACTGAATCAGCCTTTTAAGCGTACAGGTCTACTCAATCAATTTTACCGGCCAATTAATCTCCGTAGAGTGGCAAGCGAGGATCCTCTCACTTTTTCCGAGCGCCTTCTTGAGGTCCAATCAGAAATCAGGAATCGGTACACGTACACACACTCCTTAAGGGTTTATAACAGTCAGGTCATGTTTATGAGCTCATATTGGTCAATTCTGTTTTTAAAGCAAAAAGAAACAGTAGCGTGACTAGCGAGTGTTTTTTGGTGGAAATTAACGTTAAAGATTTATTTTTTTATTGAAGTGTATTTTGTGTCTGAGTTTCGCAAACCTTCAATTTGGAGTAGTTTGTTACACAGGTCAAGCTTTTCTCAGAAATAACCTGCCTGTAAATAATTCTTACAAGCCAGACATCCACAGTCTGTATAACCTGCCTTGATTGGTCGATATTACCAGTGCGATAAACATGATAATTGATTTTAAAAAAGATTTCCTTGAGGCAACTTCAAGTTGATACCTCTACCTTTGTCTGTTGTACTCAGTCATGGATGTAAAAACCTTGCTTGACAATCTTCATGAAGAAGTATCCTGTTCTGTGTGTATGACCACATTTACTGAACCAAAGATACTGCCGTGTTTGCACACTTTCTGTCTTCACTGCTTGAACGGGATTTTACGAACCAGTGGCCGCCATGATATCATCCCATGTCCTGAATGCCGAAGAGAAGTTCAAGTTCCTAGCAGTGGAAACCTCAAGGATCTGCCAACAAACTTTCGTATCAACAGTTTGCTAGATGTGCTGGCCATCAAAGAATGCCATACTGCTGGAGTGAAATGTGCAAACTGCGACAAAAGTAGCAAACACAGTTCGTACTGTTTTCAGTGCTGTGCGTTCTGGTGTGACGAGTGTATCACTGCGCATAACTTAGTCAAAGCGAATAAAGAGCATCGGGTTCTTGCTCTGAAAGATTTTGAAGACCAAGACATCGAGGACGTGTTAAAGCGGCCGGCATTTTGCCAACAGAAGCATCACGAAAAAGAAGAACTCAAGCTCTTTTGCAAGAACTGTGATGTTGCTATTTGTAATTTGTGTGTTGCAACCATCCATGATGGTCACGCTAAGATTGTTCTAGAAGAAGCAGCAAGTGAACGCAAGATACAAGTCAAGTCTGTGATCGAGAAGCAAAAGGAAACTATTGAACACAAAAAAACCAAAATCGCTGATCTTGAAAGACAGTGTAACCAAATTGAAGCGCGAGGCGATGCAGTGAAACGAGACATCCACAAGTTTGCTGAAAACATGATCGCAGTCATTGAAACAAAGAAGAAGGAAATGTTAAACAAAGCTGAAAAAAAAATCAAAGAATCCCTTGGATGTTTGCGAACTCAACAATGCGAGGTGATACGTCAATTGAAACTGCTGGAAACTACAGTTGAAAAAACTGAAACACTTGTAAAACAATGTACAAATGCCGAGATTACTCAGTTAGATAAGTCACTGAGCACGGTCATACCCGAAGAAGTCAGTGATGTTGGAAAACAAGCCGCAGCTGACCTTGAAGGTCTTCGTCAATTCCTTTTCAAAGAAAACAAAACATTAGTTGATAGTCTTAACTCTGACGGCATCGGCTCATTTCAAACTTTTGTGACTAACACTTGCGCTCATCAGTCAACTACCGAAGGGAAAGGACTCAGTGAAGCGAGTGTTGGACTTGAATCAAACTTTTTAGTAACAACAAGAAATGCCGAAGGAGCACAATGTTACAATGAGAGTGACTGTGTAACCGTGGAAATAAAAAATCAGCGAGGCCATGACTGTGCGACGGAAGTACGATTCAAAGATGAGAAAGATGGTAGCTACAAAGTCAGATATTTCCTAAAAGATACAGGAAAATGCCAAGTATCAGTGAAAGTAAATGAAGAACACATTCGTGGCAGTCCATTTCCTATTAAACCGAAACCCAGACAATTCAGACACGTGTTATCTTTTGGACGACGAGGTTCGTGTGCTGAAATGGTAAAAGCTCCATATGGAGTAACAGTGAATGAACGAGATGAAATTGCAGTGACTGATACTCATAACCACAAGGTTCAGGTATTCAGTAGTGATGGAACTTACTTAAGGTCTTTTGGTAGGATTGGTGATAAACAGGGAGAGTTAAATTGGCCTGCTGGGATAGCATTTGATAAGAATAGTCGCAGTATAGTTGTAGACAGTGATAATCACCGAGTTCAAATGTTTAATGAGCAGGGTCAGTACCTGAGCCAGTTTGGTGATGAAGGAAATCTTGATCACCAGCTGAGGGATCCTTATGGTGTATCTGTTGACACGAATGGAAATATCATTGTTGCCGATGCGGGCAACAAACTTATAAAAATCTTTTCTCCCAGCGGCCAGTTTTTGTATAAACTTGGTGAAGGTGAAAGTGGAAATTTTTCTTCTCCTTTTCACTGTATTCAATATGATAAATTTCTTATAGTATCAGACGCTGGTGAACATTGTATCAAAGTGTTTGATATAAACGGCAACTTTTTGTACAAATTTGGAAATCAGGGGAACAGGGACGGGGAGTTTAACGAGCCCCGTTTTTTATCAGTTAACAAAGCAGGACACCTGATGGTCTGTGACACAAAGAATCACAGAGTTCAGGTATTTGAACTGAGTGGTAATTTTGTAACAAAGTTTGGAAAACAAGGGAGTGGGCTGGGGGAGTTCGGCTCGCCAACATCTGCAGCAGTTCTTAGTGATGGTAGGATAGTTGTGACTGAATGGTTTAACAGTCGCATTCAGATATTTGAGTAAATGTGGATAATTTATCTACCATCACATTCAGACTACAATTTACTTCTAAAAAACATTCTTTTCACCTAATCTTGAAATCATTTTCCAGATAGGCTTCTTGTTATAGTTTCAGTGAGAAGAACATTTTAGAACTTTGAGTCAGTGGATTCGATTTTGTGCATTGTATAGTTATCAGTTCACGCTTTAATGTCCCATTTTTTTCTCTTGCTCACGGTAATCCCAAGAAAAGTGTTTTCTTGCCTTGGTTATTTTGCCTAAATGAATGGAAATTAATTAAATGTAGATTAAAATGACACGTTTTGAACTTTTCGGGAGAAGCCATTAGAAAACAATAAGTCAACTGCAAACTGGTTATTGTCATTTTCAATCAAAATCGCCAAGATTTCTTTCACAAATTGTCGTTGTTGCTTCTAATTGTCGTTTTTCCATGAGCTTGAATGGACAACACTTTTACTTTTCTTTTGTTGTTGACTGTCTTCTTTTCTAATGGCTCGTCCTTCAGTTCACTCGTTATAAACGAATAATGCTGGTGTATATATCAATGTAGAGTTACACGGAGCTGCACGTCAAAGTGAAGTTGAAACCAATAATGTTTGCGACGTGATTATTTTATTCATGTAAATCACGCAGTGTTTTCCGGAAAAATTGTAACTGTAAAGAAGCAACGTCGTTAAAATCTAAGGTTTTTTTTTTATGTTTCGATTCGCGTGCAAGAATCCAACCATTGTAATTCTATTTTGTTAGGGAGGACAAACAAAAGAAATGTAAACAATATGATTGCGTATTCATTATTGAAAAAGAAACAAAAAATTTTCATAGAGTAAGGAAAATGTGAATCCGTTCTAGTGTGTTCAATTATTTCAGTAGTATTCAGTACATAACTTTTGATGCCCGCGGAGCGTTGATTTTGATGAGATCTCCAAGGTAGCAGCGAAGTTCAAAGAAAAACTCAGATGTTACTGATCACATTGCAAGCTCGACACATAGGCAAAGTGTCGGCCATATGTTGAACAAACAGACCACCTTCGCTTGGAGCAGGAGGCCGCTTTGAATTTTCATACGGAAGATGCAGTGCTTTGTTAAGTTCAATTCATCATGAGATGCGCGCTGAAATCCACGACTTTAATCGGGTTAAAATCCGTTCCGCAAGAGAATAAACACGTTATGTGCTCTTTCCCGTTCTTAAACTGATGTCACCCCCAACTGTTATATTGTTCACAATCTAGGATTTCGTATACATGAGAAGACACTATTCAGTCC